CCATGGGGACGGCCCTTGGTGTTGACAGTAGTGGTCGTGCTCCTTCTGGCACTGTTGCTGGCCAGACAGACCACGATGCCGACATGCCCAGCGATTTCACGTCGAACGAGGAGGCTCAGCGACAAGACGGCGGCAAGAGGCCTATCTGCGAGGCCCTGGCGTGCTACAGTTATAAGCGCACCAGGACACGTGGCCAGCCGCCTTCGTCCTGACGCCGCTGAACGTGCACAGCTTCTTGCGCCGAGGGCCCTCCGTGAGGAGGCGCAGGTATTTTTCAGGCCCGCCCTCGCCCAGGCACGTCAAGAGTACGTTTCGGGCCCAGGGAGCCCCCCCCCCTGCGGCTTTTGGCGAGGACAGCCTTGGCGCCGAGTTTCGGGCGCGCCTAGGTCTGTTGCTTTTGGGGGTAGGGTTGTGCACGACGCGGGACAGGGGCAGAAAGAGCACAGTCTGGCAGGCTCCTTGGTTTAACAGTGTCGGGCGTTCATCATGCTTCAGGCCCGGCCGTGAGGTTGGGCGTCTCTTGTGGATCTTGTGGCTCTCAAATTGCGCAGTTCGGGTCGGTCTGTCGGCCTGCCCCGAAGGAATTCGAGGCCAGTGATGAGCAGGGGCACGTGTTTGAATGTCCTGATGGAGACAGCTGGGGCGCACGTCGGAAGCGTCTTGCGATATCGAAGATCCAGGTTCTGCTTGATCAGGATCTCGGAGTGGCCGAGGGGGGGCATGGGGAGAGGGCCGCCGATGCCCTCTATCTTGGATGGCACATGCTCTGCCCGCCGTCGGTCAAGTGCGCCAGAGGACAACTCTCCGCATGTATTGCGGTGCTCGCTCGTGCGTCCGCGGGGCTTCGGGGTCTGCGCCATCTGGCCAGGGGTGAGCTGATTCCCAGTCGGTGGATAGTTGTCGAGATTGATGTACGGCTGTGGCCGAAGCCTGCGCTTGCGACTCGTCCCCGCAGGGCGGGGATGTCGACCCTGAAGCCCCCGCGGGAAACTTGCTCCACGGTGGCGGATAACGCGTTCATCGATTTTCTAGGCGTTGTTTCGCCAGCCGTGCCGTTGCCCCCGTCGAGAGAGCCCCCCGACGTGGGTCTGGTGCGCAACGTGGCTGTGGTGGCCAACCGTTCTGCCAGTTGTGACTCTGTCGTCTGCGCTTTGGAGCTTCTGTCGGACTCTTGGAAGTTTTTTTTTTTTTTTTTTTTTCCACAAAAAAAACAGATGTCATGGAAGTTGAGCTGGGAAGTGAGGCCTCGAGGGGCTGCCGCTCTCGGCCGCGTTGGTGTCGGTGCGGTCCCGGCCGACGCGCGCGAACCCGGGGATGGCGAATTCGTTTCGGGCGGCTGGCTCAGGAGCGAAAGCAGGACGTACACGTACATGAATCCGCGCTGGTTTCGAGAGCACGCATCGCACAAATGTTCGCATAACGCGGCCCGTCTCGCGAATCGAGGGGCCGTGTTCATGTGCATAGCTGGGCGCGTGCGTCCTTTGTGGGCTCCCTACTTGCGTTGGCTCCAGCGGAATCTCCCGGATCTTCGACGCACGAGTATCAGGTTCCACGAGGGGCCAGATTTTGCCGACCACCTGGGCGCCTGGGCGGCCCGCAGCATCAGTGGCATCATCCAGCAGTCCCCTAACGGCGAAGGCCTCTCGGTGCGGCTGGGCGCCGCCGTGGGCGCGGCCAGGCAGCCTGTTTCGTCGTTGCCCCAGCGCCCCGCCCAGCTGGGCCGTTGGCGGGGCGGGCGCGCCCGCGCGCTCGACGGTTGGAAGCGCAGTCTTGATGGAGCGAGATCAGGATTGGACAACCGTGCTAGGGTGCTGGGGCCAGTGGCAGGAAGAGGCCAATATGCATCAACTCATGCTTCTTTCCGAAGTGGCTGCCAACGGTGGCGTCGTCGGCGCCTGGCGTTCTCGTGCCCAGTCCGCGCAAGCTACTTGCGAAAGAAATCAACATGTGAAGCTCGTGCTGGCAAGCCTCCCCATGCCCTGGGCCCCTGGAGGTTCTGGGCCGCGCGTGCTTCGCACGTGCGAGGCCCGGAGATGCCCGCGTCGTGCGTGAGGCGCCAAGCCCGCGTGCGGCCCAGATTTGGACGGCGTTCGTGTCGAGCGCAATGGCATGCCGTGCGATGATGGGCGCGAGGCCCTGGCGCGCGCGTTTATATATATATATACACGCAACATATACAGACGGTCGAGAAGATCTGAGTTCCCCCCGAAGCTGCGTGCTGGATGCTGCCCCCGCCGCTTGAAGCCCAAGGGTGGGCTTCGACTCTTGCTTGCGCGTGCTGCCCCGGTCAGGTTGCGGGGGGAACTGGGTTCATCTTCTCGATATTGGCGAAGAGCATCCGCGCAGGCATTTGGCATTCGTATCGGGGGCGCGCGCGAGTGACATGCGTGGCCAGGCCGTCCGCGCTGAGGCCATGGTGGCCGAAGGTGAAATCGCTGGGGGGTTCCTCTGGGGCGGCTCCAAGTACAGCGACAGTTTCTGCCTCGCGACGCTCGGGGGCCGCTCTTTTGATGCTGCCCCCCCCCACGGTGGTCAGGATTCTTTTTTGGTTTTTGGCGAGGATCTCGGATCCTCGGGCTGGTCGCGGACCGCTGTGTGATGCCGTTGCATGCGCGGCGAGGCCTGCTGGCGGGGCCCTGCTCCAATGGCGCCTTTCGGCGGCGTTGTGGTGCGCGGCTCCGATGTGGGCTCGGCCTCTTCAAAAGACGACGGCTCGGTCAGCGCCGATGGGGCGCCGGGGCATGTTGTCGACGTGATCGGCGAATCTGCCATCGACTTGCGCCGATATTTTGCGATTTGGAGGTCGGCCTGGCGGCTGAGAAGCGGTTCCCCCGGCCCTGGCGCTGCGCGTTGGGCGTGAGCTCGGCGCGCTGGCAGGGGAGTTCTGGGCTCGCGTGGGCTCGCTCGAGGTTGATTTGGCCCCCGGGTCCAAGGGCGGTTGAAGCGCGCCCGTAGCAATCGCGAGGGCCATCTAGCTGATGTGGCCAAGAGGCGCAGGCGTCTGCGCAGATGCCCGCGCGCTTCCCAGGGGCGAGGGGCGCGCGGGCAACGTTTGCGCGGCGGTAGTCAGCCCTGCGGTTTGTTCTGTCTTTGGATTTGAGTGCGCGCGATCGGTTGCGCTCTCTTTCCAGTCGCTTGCTCGTGCAGGAGTTCCTGTTAGAGCCGAGGCTGTGCTGCGGGGGGGCCTGCCTGGCGCAGCGTGGCGGCGCCCGCCGTGGCGCGAGTCTGTGCCGTCTGGCAAGCGACGACTGAGCCCGCCCTCGCCTATTTCGCCCGCCCCGAGCTCCGCGGCGCGTGGCTGACCGCGCCGCGGGAAGGGTTGTCGTTTGAGACAAACTGAGGTCTCATCGGCGGAATGTTTTTACCTCTGGAGCGGATCGGCTGGAAAACCGCGAGTCCGCTGGGCGGGGTCGACGACCGAGGTCCCGAGCCGTGCTCGCGTTGTTCCACTCCCTAGCTGTGCTGTGGGCGCTCCGCCGGGAAGGTGCCCAGAGACGCCGTGAGTGGGCCCTGGGGTCTGCGCTGGGTTGGAATCCCGGGGAATGAGTGCGCGTGGGGCCGACTGGGGAGACCACTGAGGCAGGGGGGGGGGAAGAGATTGGCCGCGACGTCCATGGAAAGCACACACTTCGTTTTCTGTTTGCGATGGGTGCTGCTGTGAGGGCCGATTGGCAAAGACTGGCTACATTTCCCAAGAGCTGTGTCCGCTTTGCTTGGGGGGGATGGCTCTGTCACAGCCGAATCTACAGGTGCGTTGGCAGCCCCCAAGTTCGAGATGCAAGGGGGGTTGTCACCTCGCGGGTTCTCCGCTGGACCCAAGTATCGCCGCCCCGTCCACGGATGGCCAGCACTTAGTGATGTGCGCGCCTCGACTGGGCCGACTTCGACACCGCAGGATTCAGTGTATTAGGTGACGGGCCATGCGTGCCCTACTCCAAGGAACTCGAGGGCGTTGTGCTCGTGGTTGTTCATGGAGGAGGAAGGTCAGCCGGGCGCGAGAGCTAAGGGAACAGTATGCCCTTTTCTTCCTCATGCGAGCCAGGCTGCGGAGCAGCTGCAGTTGAGCTTGTTACCCTTTTTCTCATGGTGAGGTATGGTGATGCGTGTTATAGTGGCCGTATAAACGCGGCTCGGTTGCGCAGCAGTGCGCTGTAGCCGCAGTTGTATCATCGGCACAGGTACTCGGGACTCACGCGTGGGGTTCTCCAGCACATGGTTCATAACACCTATGCCTCAGCTGCCTAGACCCCAGCCCATGGTGCGCTTCAGGTAGTAGCTGGGTCAAGGGGCTTGAACCGATGGCGCGTCTTGCTGCCGGCATGCTGCTGGTGCTCCCGGGGGCCACGCATCACAGGCCCCCGACGCGAGCGCGTCAGGTCCAAGTATTTCATGAGGTGTTTGGATGGCATTCGCGGGAACCCTGGTTGTGGGACCACAGGTGCACCAACTGCCTCAAGTTGTACGGGGGAACCACCGACGATCGACCCGAGATGTGTGCTGCGGCGGGATCCCCGAGTTCGAGAAAGGATTTCTGGACCTCATGTTCCGAACGCGGCCATCAGCTGGCCAGCATGCAGTTCGAAAATCGAGCACCCTGTTCATTTGCTCACTGTGTGGGTATTTCGCCGAACAGGCGCTTCACATGTTGGCCGGTCGAGGGCAGGAGCAGTGCTGGCACCATAACATCGAGTCGTTTGAAGAAAAGTCTGCGTCCTAAGGAGGGTTGGGATGTCATCAGTGCCGTTCAGCACGCATTTCTCACAGGGCCTGAGGCAGATACGTCCGTCGCTGCCTCCAGGCCACAAGCCGCAGTTGCACATGCCACCCACATCGACAGGGTTGCAGCGCTGCGCCTTCAGCTGGCCGAGAGGGAAGCAGCAAGGCAGGCCTAGCAAGGGTGGCCAAGCATAGTCCGGCCAAGCGTGACCACAATAAGACCCTCGTCCCAGCCCTTCTTCTCCCATCCCCTCTCCCCTGCCCCCCCCCCCCCCCGCGGCGAG